CCCCCCCCCCCCCCCCCCCTTCCAGCTATGTCTGCAAGCGTTGCCATGGCAACTGTCGCACTGCCTGCCTAGCAACAGGCTTTATCCCTTCACTGGAGAAAAAAAAAGTGGGGGGAACAGAAATGGGGGGATGGATGGGGGGGGGTTGTGGGGTTGCGTTTGTTGTATGTGGGTGAGGACGGTAGCGTAACAGCAGCATGTTGCAGTCGATTCATTGAATCAGACTCTCCGCTCCACACCTGCAGCGTCTGCCTCTCATTACCTCTCAGGCTTCTGCAGTTTACTCCGGAGTCTGTCCGTACTTTACCGGCCTCACAAACAGGCCACCTAATTACATCATACATGTATCTTTGTCAAAGGTTCCCTCAACGGCCTTGAAAAGCTTTTTTAATGCGAAGGCAGTTGAGAGCATCATCTCTCATGATTTACACATTATTACGTCTTAAAACAGGGACGTCTGTATTGCATCAGATATATTTCTTTGCTCTAAATTCAATTGACCTTTTTTTTTATACTTAGAGCATCAGCTTCTGCACATTTCTACCTGCATGCGCAGACACACACACACACACACACACACATTGTGCACAGTCGCTGCATATATCTATTATCATCCCCATGCCAACTAACTCGCTAACCTGCAGGAACAATACAAACTGCAGAGACGAGTAGCGTGATTAATATCTAAAGGTATAGCTGGTGAAACACTAGACTCTGGTCTCCTCGGCGATGCTGATTGTATTGTCTTTGCTGCCCTCTGCTGACTCCAAAGTAGCATGATTTTATTATAATTAATTTTATGTTACAAGCGGTAACAGATCTGGTATTGATCCAAAATTGCATAGTATTGCCATTTTGTAAAAAGTCATGCTTCCCATTCTTCAGCGACATGAATCCCCTCCAGCTGATTAAAGCTCATCATGTTTGGAAGGTTTCTAATAGAGGAGTTGAGTAATTGCCGCCGCACTCACTGTCTCTCTCTGTCTCTGTCTGACTCTGTCTCTGTCTGACTCTGTCTCTGTCTGACTCTGTCTCTGTCTCTCTCTGTCTCTGTCTCTGTCACCCTGTCAATTCAATTCAATTCAAATTTTGCTTTATTGGCATGAATGTTTAGAAACAGTATTGCCAAAACATCAGAAAATTAAACATACAATAACATCAATACACAATAACATTAATACACAATAATATTAATATAATTCTATAAAACTGTCTCTGTCTCTCTCTGTCTCTGTCTCTGTGAAAAAACCTGCCAAGTGCACACAGCTCCTCTCCTCGCCTGCATTTGTCCGAACTTGCCTCTTTGTTCTCTCATTATTGGTCATTAGGGAAATGATATGCAGGCTGAGCGACGTTACGTTGTTCGTGGTCAGTTGTATTGCTGTATGACATTTGCAACAATGGACGTTACATAACAGCGAGGCTTTGTTCTGTCGGTGTTTTAAAAGGGTGCGCTCAAGTGATTCAGTTTGGGGACTGTTCCCGTTACACTTCCCATGATGCAGCTCATCGGCACCTTCCATTTAGAACCCACGTTGCACTCCTAAATGCCCACTTCTCTCAAAGCCAGAAGCTCGTAACAAAGGCCCTCTGTCAGCCTCCGATGACATCATTGTTATGACATAACCGGGGTTGTTTAGTCAAACTGTACAGAGCTCCCTCCAGAGCTGCAGAAGACCCTTTTTCTGTGAACTTCATGTGCAAAGTTTGCGTTTGTGTCCCTCGAGTAATGATCCACTCACCGCCAGGAAGTCTTGTCAAATTTTTATTTTATTTTTTAGTATGAAAATATACAGAACCATGGGTACAGATTACACGGCAGTTCAAAGAAACTCAAAAACCACAGACCAGACAGAGACCGAAGTGAGACGCAAAACATCAACACAGAACAAGTTACAGTGCCCTTCCTTAAAGGAGCTCCCCGACATGACAAGTGATGAGAAGCGGGGCTAGTGATTGTTTAGTGTGCGAAACCAGAGAGAAAAAAAATGGAGGACTTTCCAGGAAAACAGTTTAACTTCTGCGTGTGTTTACTGTCTGTCTCTGCTTTGTGTTCGCAGCCTCCGGCAGACCCGTCTCATCTGGTGCGGTGAGTCCTAGCTTCTCCAACTGCAAACACTTCCACCATCGCGGTGCGTCACAACAAACCCGCTCGCCGACCTCCGATCGAAAGGAGCGCGGCTCCGGAACCAACCGAACCCGAATGATGCGATGTAAACGGTGTTGCGTGTTTGTAGTCGTCACAGTGTGTGGGACATAGAGAAACGATCACACTCTACCACGGATAAGACTCCCTGACTTGAGCGACGCTGATAGAGTCGCTGTTACACAGCTGGGTTGTGAGATGAGTGTTTTTGAGACATTTATTACGATATAATACAGCGTTCGAAATAAAAAAAACAAGACATTGTCAAAAGTTCGTTAGACTTTGAGAGGTTTATCAGTCCGGGGGAGCTCCTGAATTTCTGAGCTCACTTCCTCAAAAGTCTAGACGTCTTGGGAAACACACACACAGCACCGGTCCTCAGTTGACCTTGGCCATGAGCTGCTCTGTGAAAAGCTTCTTCAGCTGCGCCACCTCCTCGCTCAGAGAGTTGAGCTGCGACTTCAGGTGAGTGTTCTCGTGCTTGTACTGGACCTCGGTCTGTCCTTGGGCGGATGGAGGCTGGAGGCCGGCGGGCGAGGCATTGTACTGGGGGGACTGCCTCCCCTTCCTGACTTCCTCGCCCTCCAGCTGCTGGAGCCAGGAGCCAGCGCAGTGCCCCGCCGCCGGTTCGCCCGCACTCAGTCCTTTGGGGGCCTCCATCTGACCTACCCGTCCCGCTGCGGGGCTCCGCCAGTCCCCCGCGGCATCGAACGCCTCCCCGCAGCCGGGAGTCTTGAAGCGCAGCTTGTGGGGAAGGTTTTTTATCCCCTCGGTGTAGTCCGACCTCCCTCCGGCGGCTCCTGCGGTGTGGTGGACACTAACTGGGGAGTGGTGGAGGTCGCAGCCCAGCTCCTCCGCCCTGTGCGGGGAGAACTTCCCGTGGTCGCTCAGCCGGTCCTCGAAGAAGATCGGACTGCCCACACTGGACCCATCCGGCGTGGAGAACCCAGAGTCCTCCGACATGTTCCCGGCGTCCCTGGAGGCCCTGGAGCTCAGCTGGCCCGCCTGGTTGTTGGCATGGGGGGCCGAGGAACTGGGGAGGCCTCCATCGCTTCTGTGGAGATAATAGTGAGGAGTCAAGGTTTGAGGAGCCGCGGGGAGGGGCAGGATGGCGGTGCTGGGGGTGTCTTTGACCAGCCCGAAGCGGAACTTCAGAGCCAGCAGCTCGGCCCGGAGGCGGGCGTTCTCCTCCAGCAGAGCCAGGACACGGCTCTCCAGGACCATGTCGTTCACGCGGCGCTTCTCCCGCGAGCGCTTGGCCGCCTCGTTGTTCTTCCTCCTCTTGTCCCAGTAGCCCTCGTCCTTCTTGTCCACCGGGATGAACTCGCGCTTGCGCCGGATGCTGGAGGAAGGGCTCTCCTTGCGCTTGACGGCCGAGGTGCGACCCAGCAGGGAGCGCGCCAACAGGCTGCTAGAGGTCAGGATGGACACGGCTTCGTCTGTGAAGGACAGAGGCCCTCCTCCTCCTCCTCCACCGGGACTCACAGGCGACTCCAGAGTCTGGAGCACGGACACTTCCTGCTGCTGGCCCATCATCACCTGCTGGGACTCTTCCTCAAACATCGTGGCTGTCAGGTGGTGGTGGTGGACAACCACTGAGTGGTGCTGAGCGCTCTGAGGATGCAGCAACAGTGCCACCTAGTGGTCAAACAGAAAGAGGCACATCAGAAGTGGGATTTAACGGTTACGCAAGAGCCATTACAACACAGTATTATGTAACCCCATTACATCTCTCCGGTGAAACGGGATCGACTTGTACCATAACCTCTGCCGGCCTCGTTACACGATCAATATGGGACAGCACGTGCTGTAAACACAGGGCCAGTCATCCGGACCGGACCACTCACACGGCTGTGAGCTCTCAGCCACACTTTATAATACAACATGAAGTAAATATTGATTCCAATGTGACACGAGCCTATTTAAATGTATAACCTACATTCGCGTGGAACACGTCTGGGTTCACCCGCTCCTCGTTACGCTCTGACCTCGTCTCCTAAACCCGTGACCTGTTTCCGGTCCCACTGTTCTACTTCATCAGCGCTGACCCACATGTGTGACGGGGATTTATCTAATCTGACCCCTTACACAAACAGCAGCATCACCGTCATCTGACACTTTAGACATTTGACTTTTAATATTTTTAAATATCGCAGCGTAAGCAGTAGCGCGAGCGAATAAAACGCCGAAAATTGTTCCCACAAAATCTTGAAATCCCAACTGAACATTCAAAGGGTCGCGGGTTTAAGTAAAGTTAAAACGGGATTTAAAGTCTGAAGAGAACGTGCGCTTATTGCAATCAATCGTTCACGTTGTCGTTTTATTTAGCGAAATGATACTCAGTTCTTCATAATAATAATAAAAAACTTGTTTAAAATAATAATCGTACCTGTAGAAGGATCAGTTTTCTCCGCCGGTGCGCAAGACTCCGCAGAAAAACGTCTCTCTGTCCGGTCCCAGGAAGAAGCGTCCTTCCTCTCTCTATTCCTCTCCTCTCTTTGAAACACTGCGGATCCACTCGGCGCTGTTACTCCACATTACGATCACCGCCACTCTGCTCATAACACAGCCTCTATTTGTAACGTGGAGTTCAGCCCAGGACGGTCCCTATCCTCACATGAACCACCTTCTTTCTGTGTGCGCGTTTTCTGGGACCGCCTCTATCTGTGACCCCCCCCCCACACACACACCCCTCCCCTCGTTCAGCCACCATCATCCTCACCATCACCGCCATCATCATCATGATCATCTGACCTCCCTGGCCCCGCCCCCCACCTCTGTTACAGGATAATCCACTCATTACAATTAGGTAATGTTGGGCCTGTCTTTCTCTTTCCTGTATTTCCTCTGAGTCAGGCGTGCAAGATTAGTATATAAGTCAGTATACAGTTGTGTGAAAAAGTGTTTGCCCCCTTCCTGATTTCTTATTTTTTTGCATGTTTGTCACACTTAAATGTTTCAGATCATCAAACTAATTTAAATATTAGACAAAGATAACACAAGTAAACACAAAATGCAGTTTTTAAATGAAGGTTTTTATTATTAAGGGAAAAAAAAATCCAAACCTACATGGCCCTGTGTGAAAAAGTGATTTAACATAAATTAACTGTGGTTTATCACATCTTTGGAATGCTGAGTTCAATTTCTCTAGCCACACCCAGGCCTGATTACTGCCACACCTGTTCTCAATCAAGAAATCACTTAAATAGGACCTGCCTGACAAAGTGAGGTAGACCAAAAGATCCTCAAAAGCTAGACATCATGCTGCGATCCAAAGAAATTCAGGAACAAATGAGAAACAAAGTAATTGAGATCTATCAGTCTGGAAAAGGTTACACAGCCATTTCTAAAGCTTTGGGACTCCAGCGAACCACAGTGAGAGCCATTATCCACAAATGGCGAAAGCATGGAACAGTGGTGAACCTTCCCAGGAGTGGCCGGCTGACCAAAATTACCCCAAGAGCGCAGCGACGACTCATCCGAGAGGTCACAAAAGACCCCAGAACAACATCCAAAGAACTGCAGGCCTCACTTGCCTCAATTAAGTTCAGTGTTCATGACTCCACCATAAGAAAGAGACTGGGCAAAAATGGCCTGCATGGCAGAGTTCCAAGACGAAAACCACTGCTGAGCAAAAAGAACATAAAGGCTCGTCTCAGTTTTGCCAGAAAACATCTTGATGATCCCCAAGACTTTTGGGAAAATACTCTGTGGACTGACGAGACAAAAGTTGAACTTTTTGGAAGGTGTATGTCCCATTACATCTGGCGTAAAAATAACACGGCATTTCAGAAAAGGAACATCATACCAACAGTAAAATATGGTGGTGGTAGTGTGATGGTCTGGGGCTGTTTTGCTGCTTCAGGACCTGGAAGACTTGCTGTGGTAAATGGAACCATGAATTCTGCTGTCTACCAAAAAATCCTGAAGGAGAATGTCCGGCCATCTGTTCGTGACCTCAAGCTGAAGCGCACTTGGGTTCTGCAGCAGGACAATGATCCAAAACACACCAGCAAGTCCACCTCTGAATGGCTTAAGAAAAACAAAATGAAGACTTTGGAGTGGCCGAGTCAAAGTCCCGACCTGAATCCGATTGAGATGCTGTGGCATGACCTTAAAAAGGCGGTTCATGCTCGAAAACTCTCCATTGTGGCTGAATTACAACAATTCTGCAAAGATGAGTGGGCCAAAATTCCTCTACAGCGCTGTAAAAGACTCATTGCCAGTTATCGCAAACGCTTGATTGCAGTTGTTGCTGCTGAGGGTGGCCCAACCAGTTATTAGGTTTAGGGGGCAATCACTTTTTCACACAGGGCCATGTAGGTTTGGATTTTCTTTCCCCCTTAATAATAAAAACCTTCATTTAAAAACTGCATTTTGTGTTTACTTGTGTTATCTTTGTCTAATATTTAAATTTGTTTGATGATCTGAAACATTTAAGTGTGACAAACATGCAAAAAAATAAGAAATCAGGAAGGGGGCAAACACTTTTTCACACAACTGTGTATATATATATACTGTATATACTATATACTATACTGTGTACATGCAGTGTAAACAGGCTGGTGTTTTTTATCCCTCTTTAGCAGCTATAAAACAAACCTACCATACCTATTCTTCCGTAAATTGGATGTTTGTTTTGTCTGTTTCACCTTTTTGGTGCCTCAGAAAACATGGTGAAATACAATGGATTTTTTTTCTTCTATGCTGCATATTTGTGATTGATGGCAGTTTTTTTAGCACTCTGACCCCCAAAGATAAGTAGCCCCACAATGCAGGGTAACATATTGTCTTTGTGCAATTATGTTGTTCGGAAAACATCTAAAATATTTCTTTATTTGGTGTTGTAACGATGCGTTAATGTAGTTTACCTTTTTGTTTGCCAGATGTGCAAACCAGTTGGTGTCAAAGGGAAGGGAGTCCTCTTTAATACCTTCACACATAATTGGGTTTTAATGCGGTCAGAAGGAAAGTATGTTTTAAAGGAAAGTTGACTTGTCCTGTCATGTCTCTGCAAACAATGGGGAAAGAGAAGCCAACGTCAACAAATGACAGGGCTGAATACAACTAGAATATTAGGAAAATAAATGAACACATGTTCTCAAAACAACCCAACGAACCCAAGTGACCCCAGCGTTGTTGCACACGACTTAATGACAGGGTGCAAACACATTGCAAACACATTGCGCTAACAGGCTAATCTGGTATGTAGGCTGCCTGCCTTTCCCTTAAGTTAGAGCTATATTACATAATCCTGTCCTCGGGGAGCTCCCTGACAATTTACATGACATCAGCTGCTGTTTTTTTTTGTGGAAATCATCAGGGAACTACAGGACTCGTAAATAGTGTGTTTTCAAGGCAACAAGAAGCCAGATACTCGCTGCACCCTCAAACCCTGCAAAACCATGCCATGTGTCAAACCTATAAAGACACGTACACATGATAATAATAATAATGCATAATGATCCACAGCACTTTGGGTGTCAAAGTTCCAAATACTATTATCTTGTGCATTACCCAACATGTTAAATCATAATGTGTGATTGATCCTCTGGAGTGCATTTGAGCTACCGTGTGTGTGTGTGTGTGTCTTTGGGATGTTGGGGCAGCTGACAACACGTGTGCCGAGTGTGAGAGCGGCATGAGGTCTCACCTGACCCCATGTTGGTACAGTGACCTGGACACAACGAACCGCATGCACTGCATCATATCACATATGTAAACCCCCTTGAGCAAACAGCGCCGGGGCCCACTCTGGTTCTCCGATAGGGACAGAAGCTCTGAACACGGCCTCGTGGAGCCGTACAAGGTCATTTGTCAGTGCGGTGCTAACGGCGGCCCAGTTAGCCGGTTAGCTTCGCTTAGCATAGCACAAAGACTGTAAACAGGGGACGGGGGGGACGGGGGGCAGCTAGCATGGCTCTGTCCAAAGGTGACAAAATACGGAAGTTAAGCGACAAATAAATCAACATTGACTTCTGGTTTTCACATGAGAGACAAACAGAGCGGTTTTTGTTTGACCCATCCACCTTTATCCCGCCGGCCCAGCATGGGTTTTCATGGTCTTTATACTTCCTGGTTCGTGGTTACATGGATTACATGCCAATTGGTTTCCGTGCGATATCTACGAACGGTGTATGAGAACAGCCTGCAGAGATTTAAACTGGGCCGCATTAGATTCTCCATTTACTGCTTTTGTGCTGTGCATCCTCTGCATCCGCAAACAATACAATGTGCACGGAAGCTGCTTAAACGACGCGCAGCGATGCGTCGCTCAGTGCTGTGTGAACTTGCCGGCTCAATAAAAAAAAAGGGATCGCTGATACGAACGGCAAACAAAACCGTGTGCTCGTAGTTGTATTTAATGGACCGTGCCTATGAAGGTATATTTGTGTCTTTATGTGTCTTGAACCAAAGATATTTTTTTTTTTTCAACCAAAGATTTTATTTTTTTAATCAAAGATATTTTTTTTTTAACCAAAGGTTTTATTTTTTTAAACAAAAATTCTAGTTTCATTAGCAAAACTAACAAATATATTATTCTCAGTTTATATATTTTCACTTACAAACTTGTTTTTTGATTGCAGTGCAAGAAATTTGCTTTTAAAACATTTTTTTTGTTTGCGTAATAAAGACACAAATATACCTTCATACGTGCCGATCTGCTGCCTTCAGGCGCGCTCCCAAATAAGTGAGTTGCATATTACATTAGCAGGCCGCCACCTGTGGGTGTCTGAACTTAAAGTGACAGGAGGACCCGTCATATTAAATGGCGAGCGAGTGAACACCTGTTATGAAACGAGTTCTGTCAGTTCAATATTTGAAATAACTAAAACCACACTCACCTCTACAATACGTCCATAAATGAACTTTTTGTCATTTAACTTTAATGTAAAGATAGTGTTAAACAGAAAAAAACAACTGCCATTTTATTATTATTAAATGATTAATTACTTCCCAGCTGTAGCTGATACTTGGATGGGAAGAATACAAAACCATAAGTTTTAATGAGGTGATTACTTCTTGTGTTGAACGTGCAGTCGTTTGATACAAGGACGTCTCTCACAGAATCACAAAGCGTCCTTTCCATTCGTAGAACAGGAAGTGAGTTACGCCATACGTTTGGTTAACACTTCAGCTTTAGAAATATCTGTATGTAACACATCTGCTTGAGAAAGTGTTTTTTTACTTCACCAGAAAAACAGGCACGTTAAAGAGGATCTTAGCACAACACTTTTCTCCGAGACGAAGCAGAAAAAGTGTTGCGAAATGACTTCAGTGTCTGACTTGTTTGGTAAGATGTTCACACAGGATATTAGTTCAGTTCAAGCAGATTCCACAGTTGCTGGATTCTTTTTTATCTCTGGAGTGGGTCGGCGTAAACAACTGCATTACCCAATAAAAGCAACAGCGAGTTGCTCAGCGCGGTGTCGCAACTGACTTAGTGGGAAAACAACATGTGTGGGGGGTGGGGGGAGCGCATGAGTTCAATGAGTCTGAGCCGAATTCTTGACATTCTAGCACAGCCCCTTATGGAACCGCTCACCTTGTAGCTTTGACCTGCCGGGGGCGTGTGTGTGTGTGTGTGTGTGGGTGGGGGTGGGGGGCAGATACCACTGTAAACAGAGTTT